CGATCGCCAGGCGGTCACATCTTGCCACGCGCTCGAATTGGGCGGTAGGCCGGCCTAAGACAACGATTTTTAATAATTAATTAATCGTTAACTATTACGAAAATTGCAAAATGGTACAGGACTTTTCCGTTCATCTCGATCCGTTCTACCTTCTCAAAAATTTTGTCGGATATGGAAAGACTCACCGTGTATACGTGCACAATGTCGGACAAAATTCGATATTGTACGAGATCGCGCGGCACTTACAATTAGTGGTAAATGAACGACGAGAGCGCGGGCTAAAATCATGTCCCACAACGGTCATAAATTTAGCGCCGAATGTACGCTATCCGGGGGCTTTAGGTACCGAAATATCACGTTTAATGTCAACGCACGAGATAAGAGACGTGCACTTTTAGTGCTGGATATGTCGGAGTACGAAGCAAAGCGTTCGTAGGATGTGCGCTTTCTGATTTCGCGCATCCTTCCAGGAGAATTCGCCGACGGACGAGTTGCGAGATAACTGACGGGCATAGTTATTATTCCAAACCCAGAGAAACTTCTTTGTGCACGAATGCGTTTCAATCATTGAATTCTCTTAGGGATTAAGATCGCCGGCCTTTGCCAGGGATCTCTCTCTCTCTCTGTCTCTCTCTTTCTGAACATAAAAAAGCTTCGTGCATCTGGAAATTGCATGCGAACAGCTTATAACGTTGCATTGAAACTGTCTGTGATCGCTAAGAGGGATAACGTTTGCCCTTTACTCGTGGATTAAATAATTACAGCGCTCGATATAAACAATGCGGTTGATATAAACTGGCCTGCGGAACATAAATTATAATACTATTCAGTGAACGAATTAAGGTAATAATTAAATGGTCACATTAATAAAAGTATTGTGAGAAGAAAGTGAGTGGCTCGACAAGTTAACGCTGCTCTTTTGTGCGGGCTATCGATTTTCTCTCATGTCTGATGATTGATTATTTTTCATACTTGGTTGCAATGTGACTTTGCAGTTTTTCACTCTCTACGTACATTGCGATTGACCTGAAAAGGATATTGCAACGATTAAAAAGATATTACGCTCGCGAATTAAGATTAAGCAGCGTCTACCGGATATTCTATCGTCGCTCTGATTTCGAAGTTCATTAAATTAATTAGTTTTCAAATTTTTTTTCGTAGCCTTCTATATTATCGCTCGCGTTGGTGCACACTTTAAGGCTTCCTAATGAAAGATAATTTTCTGGAAATACGATAATTTATTATGTCAAATCTCTCACATGTTTACGGAAGACTTCAGCGAGATGTTCTTGATGACAGATTGATGAGACGTTGCGTGAAGATGACTTATAATATAATTGCAATAACAATCTGTCTTACCACCCACTGATCGTAGCCGTTCGATGATTGCATATAAATCGACGACAGCTGGGATCCGCAAGAAAGACCGGTCCTCGTTAATTGAACGTTGCACGATTTTTAGCGGGCCGGTCTGTGCAGCCCGGCTTGATTAAATCTTGATTTAAAACTTCATCGAGCTCGTCTGTTGTCTCACGCTGGAGTAATGTACTCCAAAGTGTTAGATCACCTACTTTCGAGACCTTCGGAGTGATTTAAGAGGATTTCATTGTAACCGGTAACGGCGGGTTTCCGCCGTTTGTTTAACGCGTGCGCGCGCGCGATGATGTGAATGTTTTTTTTTTAACGAAACGTTATATAATGCAATTGAACCCGAAGACGTGATGTATGTAAAAATAAACATGAAGGCGGGAAGAATGGCAATGGAGATTTAAGAATAAACACCAAATCGGATAGCGGTATTTCGTGGTGATAATAAATTGTTGTAGGGGAATGCAATTAGTTGAAGATAGATATTGCATGACGAGAATTGAAGTACTTTGTAAGAAGTTACAAGGATTTACGTATTCACAATAAAACAAAAGTTACACTTGTCAGTGCTAATGAAATATTTCTGTTTCTTTCTTTTTATGGCGATTAATCAATGAAAAACGTGTACAAGAGCAAATTTCAATAAATTACCACGAAATTTAATTTTCACAAATTGCAATCTCCTGAGAGACGTGTACGCGCATCAATTTAACGTCCCGTGCAACGTGCCATTAATCAGGCAATGAGTGCGTTGTATCTTGTACGTTAAAAGGTACATGCCGCAATTACGTAAAGAGGAAAGGATGTGTAACCACGTGTCGCACATGTGAATAATTGCTTCGTGATTGCCGCATTAGTGTATTCGGAATATCGCTCTATGTGAGACGCTTTGAATTTGACCGTCATATTTCTCAGGAAGTGTCACTAATCACTTATAATAGAATTTTAGACCAGTCTGAGAGTTTATTTGCCAAATGTCAAATAGTTTTCAAGCTACGTAACACTTAACTTAACTTAACTTAACACGTAACAAACACAAGATATTTTGAATATAAATTTTATATAACAAAATATCCTTTACATTAGGCATAAGTTTAATTTAATTTTTAGTTAATTAAATATGAAGAATATCTTAGGCTGCATATTAAAACGTCACTATTACAAGCTCTTTGAAACTGTCTCTGAAAACAATCGGCTAATTTGTTAAAGAATCTACCGTTAAAATTAAGGTCGCGAAAAATTAGTAGTTTTAACAGACTCGACAATATTTTAGATTAAAATTTATTTTCTCATTCCGCGTGGGTGATGAAACGGAAGGCAAGAGCTGTGAGAATGTCACGGTGGGAACCTGTTACTTGGTAAAGATCGAACGCAGCCGGAGAAATCAATGGATGAACAATGATGTTATCGAGCGTTGTGTACTTTTATTATCATTGAGCATTATTACATCAGATTTCGAAATAGCTCTCGTAGCGAAAGGTGTGGCGTGGGAAACTTAAGCTCACTGGTCTTATGTATTCATCCTGCGTGTCGTTTACTCGTTGCTATTACGCCGCGTGTCTCGCATCGTTCGTGGCTCATCGCCGACATGTTACTCTTATTGCCCGAGAGTAACC